TTGTTGTAACTTTGCTCGCATGTCCAGTTGTCTCCAACTTGTTGTTGTCACCAACTTGTTGTTGTCTACAACTTGTTGTCTCCAACTTGTTGTCTACAACTTGTTGTTGTCTACAACTTGTTGTTGTCCCCAACTTGTTATTGTCACCAACTTGTTGTTGTCTACAACTTGTTGTCTACAACTTGTTGTCTACAACTTGTTGTTGTCTACAACTTGTTGTCTCCAACTTGTTGTCTACAACTTGTTGTCTACAACTTGTTGTTGTCTCCAACTTGTTGTCTCCAACTTGTTGTTGTCTACAACTTGTTGTTGTCCCCAACTTGTTGTTGTCACCAACTTGTTGTTGTCTACAACTTGTTGTCTACAACTTGTTGTCTACAACTTGTTGTTGTCTCCAACTTGTTGTCTCCAACTTGTTGTCTACAACTTGTTGTTGTCTACAACTTGTTGTCTACAACTTGTTGTCTACAACTTGTTGTCTCCAACTTGTTGTTGTCTACAACTTGTTGTCTACAACTTGTTGTTGTCTACAACTTGTTGTCTCCAACTTGTTGTCTACAACTTGTTGTTGTCTCCAACTTGTTGTCTACAACTTGTTGTCTCCAACTTGTTGTTGTCTCCAACTTGTTGTCTACAACTTGTTGTCTACAACTTGTTGTCTACAACTTGTTGTCTACAACTTGTTGTTGTCTACAACTTGTTGTCTACAACTTGTTGTTGTCTACAACTTGTTGTTGTCTACAACTTGTTGTCTACAACTTGTTGTCTACAACTTGTTGTTGTCTACAACTTGTTGTCTACAACTTGTTGTCTCCAACTTGTTGTTGTCACCAACTTGTTGTCTACAACTTGTTGTTGTCTACAACTTGTTGTCTACAACTTGTTGTTGTCTACAACTTGTTGTCTCCAACTTGTTGTCTACAACTTGTTGTCTACAACTTGTTGTTGTCTACAACTTGTTGTTGTCTACAACTTGTTGTCTACAACTTGTTGTTGTCTACAACTTGTTGTTGTCTACAACTTGTTGTCTACAACTTGTTGTTGTCTACAACTTGTTGTCTACAACTTGTTGTCTCCAACTTGTTGTTGTCACCAACTTGTTGTCTACAACTTGTTGTTGTCTACAACTTGTTGTCTACAACTTGTTGTTGTCTACAACTTGTTGTCTCCAACTTGTTGTCTACAACTTGTTGTCTACAACTTGTTGTCCCCAACTGGACATCTGTGAAGAAAAAAAAGCTTCGTAGCTTGTCGGATTCCTCCAGGGTTCTGATTCCGAGGGGACAATCTCTTGTCACTGCCGTCTCCCTGCTAACAGCCCACACCTACAGCACCTGGCAAGCCGTGGCAGTGGCCAACGATTCCATAACTGAGGGGGGCAAAGGGGGGCAGAGGGGGGCAGGGGGGGGGTGTGTTACCAAGATCTCACGAGATCCGGAACATTTATCCTCATTATGTCACAGCCAAAAATGTGTGTTCTATTATAAACCGAACATGTACGGAGTGAATAGCGCAGCAGAGATTCAGGTGCAGATGCTCATCACCAGCATCTGAAGCTTTATTTCGAGTGGAGAAATCCGATGAGTTGCGAAGGCCTTTACCACGGATACATTGTTCGTTCTCTGGGGGGCCAGAGATGGAGACGATGTTTTTTTTCTTTCCCCTCCCGTCGATTTTGTTTGCGCCAGAAGGCTCCGCCCACTTCTGCTTTCGCGATGATGCGCGCGTCTTCGAAGGGGGACGCTCCTTGTCCCCGCGTCCCGTGTAAACACCACCTGCGTCCCAGTCATCCCCGACTTGCGGCACGCACAACCCTCGCGGAAAGGGGTGGAGAGAAGGGGGTGGGAGAACGATTGCCTAAGCGCGTGCCACTGTCGACCCACGGTGGTGGCGGTGGCAGAAGACCGAGCCCAGCCGCTCGAGTCGCGCACTCTCGGCGACCCCTCGCCTTGTGTGGAAAGAGGCGTGAGAACGACGTTTAGGTCGGGGAGACAAAACAAAACATCATCGTGGCTATGGAGGGCGGTGGGGGAGGGAGGGAGGGAGGGGCCCATCTCTAAATGTGGCCGATGACCACATCAGCCGTGAGTGCGCGCGCCCGGTTCCTCCAGATTCCCCTAAACCAGGGGTCGGCACCCTATGGCTCGCGAGCCAGATGTGGCTCTTTTGATGACTCCATCTGGCTCGCAAATAAATCTTAGCTGGCAATTTCTCAACATGATAAGTCTTTCTTAACATGACAAGACTTATAAGTCTTATCATGTTAAGAATTGCGAGCCAGATGCAGTCATCAAAAGAGCCACATCTGGCTCGCGAGCCATAGGGTGCCGACCCCTGCCCTAAACTAAGCAGCGGTTGAGACTGGATACTCTTTGGTTCTGTCGGTAAAGTCACGTGGGTAGAAATAAAATTAAGTGAAACAACCACAGCAGGAAAATGCTGACGTCGGCTTCACCATTGTCTTGCCGTGGTTGTCCCGCCTGATGAAGTCCGCTTGTGTTGCGATCGAAACGTCGTGATTTGTTTTATTTGATTTTATTTCTACCAACGCGACTTTACCGAAAGAACCAAAGAGCATGGATTCCTGCAGTCTCGAAAGCTTCAAATCGACATTGAGACGGGATAGTCCGTGAATGTGGGGCTCCACTTCGCGCAGGCACAGGGCAGTGGAGTGAAATCCCTCGCCGCACCGCACTCACGCGGGATCGCAAGCTAAGCCGCCCAACTTCGCCAACCCAAACTGACCAGCGCGGCGAAGTATGGTCAAACGACGTCCGCGAACCGTGCGGTGCTGGAATGCCGGTCTTCCAAGAGTGCAGGTCATTTGGGTTATTTGATCATATCCGTCATCAGGCTGGTCGTTGCGGGTTCGTGAAGGCAGGACGCAGAGGCCTGGGGAGCATACACACGCAGTACAACACCGCATTATCTGCAGTGCGTCTTCGCTGACCGCCACGTAGTCCCGTAGCCTATAACAAACTTCAGGAATTACTGTTTGGTTATTTCGGTAAAGTCACGTGGAAAGAAAATAAATTAAGTAATAGAATACGACGTTTCGATTGCAACACAAGCAACCGTCATCAGGTAGAACTAAATTTGAGAGAGAGACAAAACACAGACACGGAGACACACAGACAGACACACAAGCAGAGAGAGGCAACACATAGGCATTGGGTCTCTGTGTGTCTATGTTGTGTGTGTCTCTCTGTGTGTCTCTGTGTTGTCATATCTCTGCTTGTGTGTCTGTCTGTATGTCTATGTTGTGTGTCTCTCTCTGTGTGTCTCTGTGCTGTCTCTCTCTGCTTGTGTGTATGTCTATGTGTCTATGGTGTGTGTCTCTCTCTCTCTGTGTGCCTGTGTTGTCTCTCTCTGCTTGTGTGTCTGTGTGTCTGTGTTGTGTGTCTCTCTCTGTGTGTCTCTTTGTTGTCTCTCTCTGCTTGTGTGTCTGTCTGTGTGTCTATGTTGTGTGTGTCTCTCTCTCTCTGTGTCTCTTTGTTGGCTCTCTCTGCTTGTGTGTCTGTCTGTGTGTCTATGTTGTGTGTCTCTCTCTGTGTTGTCTCTCTCTGTGTGTGCCTGTGTTGTCTCTCTCTGCTTGTGTGTGTGTCTCCGTGTCTGTGTTTTGTCTCTCTCTCAAATTTAGTTCTACCTGATGACGACTGCTTGTGTTGCAATCGAAACGTCGTATTATATTATTAAATGTATTTCCTTTCCACGTTACTTTACCGAAAGAACCAAAGAGCCTATAACAAGTTTAACACGTAGTTGGCTTTGGCGACCAATATAATCCAAATAGAGGTTTTGTGGGCTGGATCGCGTAAATATTTACGCAGCCTATCACAAATCGCCGCGAGTGGCGGTCGCCCATCCAAGCATGTGATCCGGTCTCAGACCAGCCCGGCTTGCAATCCGGGGCGAGCCGTTATATCATAAATGACCGCTGTTGTTTTTTTTTGTCATCGTTCCGACTTTTACTGCCCGCCAGGGATGTTTGTGTGGCCAGCGCGCGAATGAGCGTCGGTCGCTCGACCCGCAGGGAGGGGTTAACCGAGAGAGAGACACGCTGCTCAATGCTGTTCTCACCGCTGAACGTCCTCATTCTGCGTGGCGCGGGGGCTGCACATCTGCTTCACACTTCCACATTTTTTTTTGGGGGGGGGGGGAGGGGAAGAGGCGGGGGTGGGGTGGGGGGATCTTACGGCCCCGTTGGTTCACGCTTCATTAATTTCCACTGGTCGCAAAGACGGCGTGTGACGACGTGCCAGGCTGTACGCGGGTTGAACGTCGTTAACCCCCCCCCCGCCCGCCTGCCCCCCAATAAGGTCACCAATGTGCAGGCTTCAGAGTAATGCACGGCGCGACAGGAATCGTCGTTATAATTGTGATTGTTGTGAATGTTGTGTCCGCTGTTACCCCAACACCTCTCTGGACCCACGCGCCACCGGTTGCTTTTGCCTTCTCTGGCTGAAGCTATATTTTTTTTTACACCAAACTAATTGACTGTTCTATTTTAAAAATATATAAATAGAATTTGCCGGATGATCGCTTTTTCGATCGGCACAGGGAAATCGATGGCAATTGCCGTAGAGACTCCCGGCCAATCCGGGAGCGTTGGCAACCCTTCGCCCCACCGTTCCCACCGGCAGCAGCATCCCACTCGAGGCGTCGTCGAGTTAAATAAATGAGCACATTTCCCTTCTCAAGACCCACACCCCCCTGCGCGCACGTCTATCGAAGCTCATCAGGGCCTCAACTAAGTTTCCATTGGCATTTAAGAAAATGACTGTCGTTAACCCAAGAATGCCGGCTGCAGGGCAAACTCAGGGTGAAAGCTATAAAACATCCGACTAGCACGGTTGGCTACAAATGGAGCGAAAGAAGTCCAGCGTGCACACACACACACCACATTCCAAACGCAAGAATCAAAATCTGCGCGCGTCGCTCATTCGCGAGAGCGTTCCGAGCGCCGGGTTCAACGGCGTCGTTTGTCCCTCGCCGGTCAGACCTGGTGAGCCCCCACACGAAGGTGGCGCTCGCCTACACCGACGTGGAACTGAGCTGCGTCCCCGGTGGGGCCGGCGGGGCCGGCGGGCCCGGTGGGGCCGGCGGGCCCGGCGGGGCCGGCGCGTCCTCCGTCCGCTGGACGCTCAACGGTAGAGTCCTGGAGGAGAAGGGCGGTGGCGAGCACGGGACCACCAACGGGACCAATACGAAGACGAGCGGCGCCCTGCTGCTTCGGCGCGTCACGCCCAGCGACAGCGGTCTCTACACCTGCCACGACAACAGCATGCGCTTCCTGCAGCAGGTCGCGCTGCTCGTGGGCTGTGAGTCAGCCGAGCCGCGACGGGATTGGGCGACGGAAACATTCACCGACAGACAAATTGGGTTTTTTTTTTGTTTACGTGGTGTGAATAATGATAAAAGTTGAAAAAAAATGTTTTTACCTCGAGCGGTCCAGAGCTTAGGTCCTGAAAATAAATCCCCCCACCTACACTCGGCGTCAGGGCAAGCTGGGGGGTGGCGGGGGAGGAGTTGCGAGGGGAGTTCCAGAAAATATTCCACGGCAGATGAAGCCCTAATGGTCACTTTGAGTTGACAATGATTTACAACTACCCACCAAACCTCAAAGTGGGACCGACGAGACGATGACATTATCGAGCCTGAATAAAGATGCAGACTCAGATCATTATTTAATGGGTGCAATTGTGAACAATAGCCGTATCAGACATTAGTACATCTCATCGCCACAACCATTGGTGTCACTGCAGTTCAAAGACTCAGTCCTACAAGGCATGAAGTTGAGCTTTGTCTCTTGCAGCAATTGAGAGTAGGGTTCAAAGGTTGCTGGTCCTTGACCCCAGATGCACTTGAGCAGTATGGTGGAGGTGTACGCTATACACAACCTAATCTGAAAGCATCCAAATACCCATAACAGATTGTGCTCAGCCAAGAGCGGCTCGCTCAAGGGTGGGGTGACCACCTCCTAACACAGGAGATGGATTAGAGACATACGTCCACGATGGTAACTGGCTGTATACAGTATGAATATGTATATGAAAATGTTTCATGAGTTCACTGATTGGCTGATCTGATAATGTTGGGAGTAGGGAAAAATGTGCACCCTTCACACAACACGCATATCGTTCGAACAGACTTAAAGTTCCACACGATGTCATCGACTAGTCTAGGACTGTGGCTAAAATAAAATGTAACTTATTGAACACTGTCTTCTTGGTTCTTTCGGTAAAGTCACGTAGAATGTAAATAAAATAATAAAAATAAAACATAACAAAATAAAATTCTCACGTTTCGGCCACAACACAAGTAGCCTTCTTCAGGTGAAGAAACAGAACTGAAGAAGGCTACTTGTGTTGTGGCCGAAACGTCGTGAGAATTTTATTTTATTATGTTTTATTTTTATTATTTTATTGTTTCCCTTCTACGTGGTGACTTTACCGAAAGAACCAAGAAGATGAATCCCTGCAGTCACGAAAGCTTTAAATCGAAATTTAATTGAACACTTGCTAGCACCAGCAAGCGACCGCCTACTTTGCTCAGTGAAGGGTAGTGGCATAGCCATGGAGTGTGCAGGCGGTGCAACTGCACCAGGGCTCACGGAACAGAGGGGCCTGGGCACCGGGCTACGAAGTGAGGGGAGGAAATTGGACATGGGGCCCGAATTCATTCTTGGCGATGAGGGTCCACGTCTACCAAGCCAGTGGGAGGTCGCTCAATCTCCTCTGCTGCGCCCAAGGTCTAGAACTGTGGACTCCCTGCATCTATTTGGCTCCAGGCTCAAAACCTTCCCGTTCTCCTATGGCTGCCTCTTTCTCTCTGTTCAATAAACACACCCCACCGCTTGTGTAAAGCATCTTGAAATTTGGTTGGCTTTAGACGCGATACAGATCAAATTTGAAGTGTATTGTTTCGTATGGAGAACTATTGACGCACACGGAGACCCATAGACTTACGCAGAGGCCCATCGACCCAGAGACATTAACACTGTGCCATTACGCCCCCCACCCCACCGCACATCCCTCGATAGATGGGGGTGCACAAATTGCTCACTCGTGCTCTGGAGTTAAAATTACATTTTTAAAAACCCTACCACGGTGTGTCTGTGTGGGCAGACCTCCCCGAGAAGCCGACGGTCTCCTGCCACAGCAACAACCCCCACTTGATCGTGTGCACCTGGGTACCGGGACAGCACGCCGACCTGCCCACAGACTTCAGGGTCAACACGACGTTCGCGTGAGGCTTCCTGCCGCTCACGCAGCACCTGCGCAACCCACCGCCACTTAGACCCCGACCCCGCCACCGACCTTTGGTCATCCTAGCAGCGGCAGCGGCTTTTTTGGCCGGCCATCGAACAAAGACGGTCACCGCATTGTGCGGCTACGCTTCTGCGGCCGTCTGGAATGCTCTTCCTTCCGATATTATGAAGCCACTCGGGCTATGCACTTTGAAGCCATTTAAATTGAAAACGCAATTTTCCTTACAACTTCTTTTCGTGTCTAGTTTGTTGTCCTTCGCCCGCACCTCCGATTAGCACGGTTGGCTACGTACGGTGCGGAAGAAGTTCAACCTCATATGTACAACCTCCATAGGCGCGCGTGGCGCATGGAGCGCTCTAGAAAGGACAAGGTGGGCAGGGCTCTGGACAAATTAGTCGATTTGAAGCAAGCAGTGGCGGCCAGTTGCTCTAATCTTTGATGGGGCAGTTCCCGCACAACAGTAGCATGGTGGGGGGTGGTGGTGATGATGAGGGGGGGGGGGTGAAGATGACACCTTGCCTTGAACAGTCATATTGTCTCGCTACGGATCGTTTCATTCATCCACTCGTCGTCACTGTTGACCGAGACAACATAGCTTTGTCGACGAAGATTTTCCATCGACGATTTTCTTCGTCAAACGAATTCCCCCCCCCCCCCCCGTAATGTGGTGCGTGGTTTTCAGGAAGACGCACGTGGAGTGTCGGCGTAGCGCGGACTTGCCCCCAAACACGTGCCACTTGGCGGTAACAATAATGGCGTACGGCAAGTATATCGTTACAGTAACGGCCATCAACCCACTCGGCTGCAACTACAGCAACTCCTTGAACTTCTTCCACAAAACAATCTGTGAGTGGCCTGTGCTCACCGCACTCACTCACCACACCACCCCGTTCCCCACGCATCTCCGACAAGCACGGTTGGCTACGTCCGGTGTGAAAGAAGTTCAACACACACGCACACACAGTTGTTCCCACTGCACCAAGCTGCCGGCCACTTCGCGTAAGAAGAAGGCAAAAGTGATGTTATCACATCTATGCCTGTCTCGGCGTCGCTGTGCGCTGCGTTGATACCGCTCTCCGAGTAGTTAACCTCGCATTCAATAAACCTTCAGAGCCAGGGTGAACGTCCGACTCCAACGTATTTAATGAAAAGACTCGAGGTAAAACTGATGGAAAAACAGCACAAAATACAGCATCTGTTAATACTTGCAATATCAATACAATTAATGAAAACTGCAGCATCATAACATTGTGTTAGATAACATGAATCTCAATAATAGGTCCTGGATGGACCAGACACATACATAAGCACTGAATAGCTGTAACAAGAGAATAATCTACCGTGTTAAATAAGGTCACTTTGTGTAATCACGATACTGCAGCCCAAATGGACAGTGCTGCACATAACATTGAACTGTGGATGAGATACTTCTTCGTCCTTGCTCTCAAGAACGCATTAAAGTTACATGGGCACAAGTCTGGCTTGACTCATCCAACTACAAATAACATTCACAATAGTGCAAGTGGCAGGCTTCGTTGTTAACTAGGCCTAATATTTATCATAACAATTTAACATTATAAAGGCATTTACAGCATTATAATGTCAATCATAATATTATAACAGCATTCCCAGTATTATAAGAGCATGAACTTACAGACAACGCTTCTTAAAGTCCAACAATGAACTAATTGTGCCTCTTATTTGTACTCTTTGTAATGGCTGACACCCCTGCCTTGCCTCGTGGCTTCGAGACCCTTAACTCGTAACGTCCTGGTCACGTGACCAAACTCAACACCATATCCGGAAGTTCCTGTGTAAACACACCCCCATATCTGCCGTGGGGCAGAACAACGCCTCTATTTAAGGAACGAAACAGGTGGACTTCTCCACAAATCTGGCTGTCGCCTGGTAAAGCTAGTTGTAATTACTGTCAAAACGTCATATTCAGATTGTAAATGTTGTGGCTTGGCTTTCCAACACACCGGTGTGCTGTACTAGTAACGAATTGGCATGTTCTGTTTACGTGACAAACCTTACTAATTGGCTGTGTCGGGTGGTGGCGGGTTTAATGACACATTTATATATTTACGTGATCTAACCCCAAAAAAACTATATTATGGATGATATTGGTCGCGAAAAAGCTGACTACGTGTTAAACTGATGATGTTGTTTGTTTGTTGTTGTCATGCACGTGGTGGGTGGTTGGCTGGTTGGTGGGTGGCGATGCTGGAACCGGTCTCAGTGAAACCGGATCCCCCCGGTGATCTGCACCTGCGCTGGATCGGCAAAGCGCTGCACGTGAGCTGGAGCTACCCGAAAACGTGGGCTGAGCAGGCCGACGCCTTCCCGCTCCAGTTCCAAGTGTGCTACAAGGCGGCCACATCCCGCGTGTACAACGAGGTAATTCACGACGACGACGATGACGACGACAACAACGTCGTCATCGCTGATGTCAAAGGCAAGCGTGAAGTCATCAACCCCACGTGAAAAACACAATTGCCAAAATCTTCACCACTGCTAACATCAGGACCAAAGACAAAGATTCCCCGTTTAGCTTTTACAGACTGTTGGGGCAAGTGCGAGTAGCGCGTATGCAGGCCGGCACGGGCACACGAGGGGGGTGGATGGCCAACACCACGCCTGGCCGCCTTTGTCTCCCTTGCACAAGCATAAGTAATACGAACTCCCACTGGTATATAGGAGGTCGTGGGTTTGACCTGAATCCGGATACCTGTATATTTGGAATTTGCATGTTCTCCCATTGGTAGTGTGGATTTTTCTGCGGGTCCTCTGGTTTCTCCCTCCACATTTAGAATCAACAACGTGCGTTTAGAGTATTTGGCAGCTATTAATTTACACGTGAAAATTTCGTAGAGCTATAATTTGTGGCCAGGTCGTTTAGTTTAGAATTATCCGGAAATGCGAACACATTTCCGAAATTGACTTGAAACTACAAAAATACGTAATCTACATTTGTTGTGTTGAATCGTAAACTCTGGAAAACGTCCGAATTGCACCCTCATTTATTGCAAGCTAAACACAGCTTTGTGACACAGCCAACCACTAAAACCTCTGACACAGCAGCGGATCTTCAGAGATGGCCACGGGGGGGAGGCTGTACCCACTCAGCCTCCCCGCCTGTTCCAGTTGCAGCCATCGTGCCGGGGACCACAGCGTGGAGTCGCAGAGAGATACACCATCAACAGCTATCGAATATCATGCACCACAAACACTGCTACGGAAACGTATGTGATCTACAGATCATCATCATCAACCGTAGCCATTCCACTGCCTAGATGAATGCCTCCCCAGTTTTCACCGTGCGTTGGCGCACATCCGATTTCCCGGACCTCCGATTTGCATGGCTGGCTACGAACAGTGCGACAGAAGCTCAGCATACGTACAAACATACGTCTCTCATGGTCTCACAATCATGACGAGGATTCGTTTTTGATCACTCGTCCTTCACGCCAGAGGATCTCAGAGTGGTTTAACACGCATTAAAATGCAATTGTTTAAAAAGGCAAAACTGAAGAATGAGTAAAACAAACAATTGCTTTAACAGACGTAGGGTTATTTTTTTTGTTATCTAGTTCCAGCACATGAGCCATTAATATTTGTGGTTCCATTTCCACAAATGAACGCCTCGACCACCGGCCCTTGGCCCCACCTCTTTATTTCATCCTTTTGATCCTGCTCCACCTTCAAATGACTGACCTCCGTGGCATACACACTCCGCCACGTTTCCCAGTTGTGTTTCCTCCGACGAGATATCTGTAATCGTGTGGCGAACTTGTCAAACAACTTATCGTCCGTGGCTTTCGCCTCGCCCGTACTTATCTCGAGCCCCACTTTTGCAGCCTTTCCCTGCCAATAAGCTCTGAGCGTTCTTTCCCCACGGGTTGGTTTTCATTGGTTGTCACCGCCGTCGTGCGGAAAACTAAAAAAAACTAAATCTTCGCACAGAGGACAAAAAGCTGCAGCCACGGCGGAGCTACGGTATCTCGAGCAAGTGGCGCGAACCCCCAGGGTCAGATGTCTTCAGGGCAGGAAAACGGTCAACGTCGACAATTAAAACGGCAAATTCCTCTTTTTTGGCTTCCGAAAAGAAAGACTCTCCCACCGCTGAAAGACCAGAAACAATCCTAACCCTGGCGCCTGAGCCGTCGCCCCCGAAAATGTCTGAACGTGTACCACGGAGGGTTGGCAAATGCTAACGACGATTTTCTCGAAGCAATTTATCTCCGCATAGGAAATATATAGCATAGCAAGGTTAGCGTGGTAGCTTTTTAACGTCGATAAATTAGGGTGCAATTTGCACATTTTCGAGAGTTTTCGATTAAAGCAAAACAATCTGATTACGTATTTTCCTAGTTTTTAGGGCAATTCTGGAAATGAATTTGCAATTATGGATCATTCTAAATTAAACAACTTTTTTATTTACCAGGTAAGGCCCACTGACCTATATGGTTCTTTTTCAGAGGTGACCTGGCCACAAATGATGGAGTGGCTCATTGTTTGGAAATGTATCGCAGCCAAATACTATAAACGCGTGATGTTGATTCGAAGTGTGGAGGGAAAAACCGGAGGACCTGGATAAATATCCATGCGACCACGGGGAGAACATGCAAACTCCAAATATACAGCAGACGTCAGGGTAGAGGCAAACCCACGACCTCCTGTATACCAGACGAGGTAGTTAACTTCTCGCCACCGTGGAACCTCGTTCTCATTCGCTCTCTTCCTCTCTGGCTTTCATCTTGCCACCCTGTTCCTTATTTTCTGGTTTTTATCATGCATGGCACCTTGAGACCTTGTGAAAAGCGCCCAATAAGTGCAAATTATTATTATTATTGCTACTCTGCTCCACCGAGCGATTGAGGAAAATATCGAGTAACAAAATACTGTTTTGGTGACAGACGAAGGAGCACTCGTAATTCGTGGATTGCCGTGTCATCGTGCGTCGCGTGCCACGCAGGGCCCCTCTCTGGACACCACGGAGATGACCGTCACGGACGTGATGCCCAGCAAGGCCTACGTGGTACGAGTGCGTGCCTCCGACAAGTTCACGAAGAAGCTGTGGAGTGAGTGGAGCCCCGAGGTGCGGATCGACACCGTCACAGGTAGCCATCGCCGGGCCGGGCCATTTGACGCTCTCGATTTGCAGAACTGTTCAGTGCTGATGTGGACGTCGGCGAGCGAGCGAGTGGATGGCTTCAGTAGATTGGTGATCATGTGGAATGCTGCAAGGTGACTTTTCAAAAAGGCCGTGGGTATATATATATGTCTAACTGTCTTGCTCGTGTGCATGTGTAGATTCGCCCAGGTCGAACGAAGTTGATCTCCAATTCACGGTGAGGCCACCGATTTAACACAAACTCCATGGGTTTTCTAACAGGACCAATTTGAGCGATAGGCTACCAAGTTTTTAGGCCCTTGCTACCACATACCAAATTTTAAAGTTAACCGTTCCACTTGCTAAAGTTTTGAGAAAATGAACTGACAGCATTGCTGCTTTGAAACTCTGCCAGCGGTAAAATGGTAAAACAAAATTGGAAGCCTACCACTAAATTCAATAGGGTAGGCAACTATGTGATAAGACTATATCCTCACCATATAAATGTAGAATTTCCACTACCACCACCACAAACCACTTCAGGGGCGCCAATGGAAATGAATGCTGATCCGTGCCTGTTGGAGAACGTCTACCTTTTTCAAGATTGATTGAACCTGATTGGAAAATGAATTGAAAATATTATTATATTTATAATAACCACAACACTAATGCGCTCGTAAATATTTTTCTACAGACGCAAACGATGACGCCGTATTCTGATGAACAGACTGAGTGGTACACTTTCAGCCGAGAAGGTGAAACCATATCACAAGCCGGGAGCTTTGTCGCGCAACAATGAGGATTCGTGCTCGTCAGATGCTTTAAATAAATTCCATCGCAGCACAAAGGGCACAGAACGGACCTGTAAATTACGAGACCCCCCCCCCCCCCCATCACAACGTAATAACAGCACTGGCTGGAAAACCACAGGTTTCAAATAACAACAGAGACAACGTATACAAAAAGTGCAAGGCCTCTGCACTTACACAAAATCCATCTGCATTTCCGGAAGAATTGCATTGTGGTCCTTTTTAACGGAAGGACCACAATGCACGTCTTCAGACAATGATGGGTATTTTGGTATTATGCACAATTGCTGTGTGCCTTCAACATACTTCTGTCGTGTTGTTTGATGAAAACATCTAAAAGCACCTTACAAAACACAAGACCATGGGAATACTAATATTACGCTCTCCCTCACACACTGGACACTCACACACAATACAATGTACACAATCTCACGCAGTACTTTCAAACAGTATATTCACTGGCAGAGCCAGTGGGGGGGGGGGGGCACGTGTCCCCCCAATGATCGGATCATTGGGGTTTATTAATAATAAATAGGCATTTTGCGACCCCCACTGCCACTGTGTAGCATATTATTATTATGTGCCAGGGACTCTATGAGATGATAGGACAATAGTCTGAGTCCATAATTGGCAATAAGTAACGGCAAAGCGATTATAAGTGACTCACAGAATAGTGCGCAGTCGCGTATACAGAGTCCACGACTTCCCTGAAGGCATCATCACCTTCAGCGAGCGCGATGGCGATCACACAACGCGGTTTGAATTCGACCCTCAATCGATGTCTGTGTCATCGCCACACACACGTCGAGTAAAAAGCAAGGGACAAGTCCTTACTTACTAACAACTCCTTACTTACTAACAACTCCTTACTTACTAACAACTCCTTACTTACTAACAACTCCTTACTTACTAACAACTCCTTACTAACAACTCCTTACTTACTACTTCTTACTAACACCTCCTTACTTACTAACATCTCCTTACTCACTAAGAACTCCTTACTTACTAACAAGTCCTTACTTACTAACAACTCCTTACTCACTAACAACTCCTTACTTACTAACAACTCCTTACTCACTAACAAGTCCTTACTTACTAACAACTCCTTACTGACTAACAACTCCTTACTTACCAACAACTCCTTACTCACTAACAAGTCCTTACTTACTAACAACTCCTTACTTACTAACAACTCCTTACTCACTAACAACTCCTTACTTACTAACAACTCCTTACTATTAACAACTCCTTACTGACTAACAACTCCTTACTTACTAACAACTCCTTACTTACTAACAACTCCTTACTCACTAACTCCTTACCTACTAACAACTCCTTACTCACTAACAACTCCTTACTTACTGACAACTCCTTACTTACTAACAACTCCTTACTTACTAACAACTCCTTACTGACTAACAACTCCTTACTATTAACAACTCCTTACTGACTAACAACTCCTTACTTACTAACAACGCCTTACTTACTAACAACTCCTTACTCACTAACTCCTTACTTACTAACAACTCCTTACTCACTAACAACTCCTTACTTACTAACAACTCATTACTTACTAACAACTCCTTACTCACTAACAACTCCTTACTTACTGACAACTCCTTACTTACTGACAACTCCTTACTTACTAACAACTCCCTACTAACAACTCCTTACTTACTAACAACTCTTTACTTACTAACAACTCCTCACTTACTAACAACTCCTTACTTACTAACAACTCCTTACTTACTAACAACTCCTTACTAACAGCTCCTTACTTACTAACAACTCCTTACTAACAACTCCTTACTAACAACTCCTTACTTACTAACAACTCCTTACTAACAGCTCCTTACCTACTAACAACTCCTTACTAACAACTCCTTACTTACTAACAACCCCTTACTAACAACTCCTTACTTACTAACAACTCCTTACTAACAACTCCTTACTTTCTAACAACTCCTTACTTACTAACAACTCCTTACTTACTAACAACTCCTTACTTACTAACAACTCCCTACTAACAACTCCTTACTTACTAACAACTCTTTACTTACTAACAACTCCTCACTTACTAACAACTCCTTACTTACTAACAAGTCCTTACTTACTAACAACTCCTTACTAACAGCTCCTTACTTACTAACAACTCCTTACTAACAACTCCTTACCAACAACTCCTTACTTACTAACAACTCCTTACTTACTAACAACTCTTTACTTACTAACAACTCCTCACTTACTAACAACTCCTTACTTACTAACAACTCCTTACTCACTAACAACTCCTTACTTACTAACAACTCCTTACTAACAACTCCTTACTCACTAACAACTCCTTACTTACTAACAACTCCTCTATCATTTTTCATTGCTGGAGGGGTTGCCCCCCCCCCCCCACCTGAAAATCCTGGCTCCGTCATTGAGTGTACTCAAACAGAGTACACTCACAAGCAGATCACTGTTGTGCAATATTCATAAACATTATAGTCACTCACGCACAGTCGGTTACAGCTGCCTACGTGTGCGAGTCCATGTTTACAATCGCTGTGAAACAGCTATCTTTGCTGTAATGTTAGTAAAACAAGAAATAAGAGTCTGGTTTGGCCAACCCATTGAGTGCACGGCGAGCACCACTGAAATTAACAGTTCAACATACGTAGAGTAAAAAAACATACGAATAGATATCTCTGTAGGGCATGTTCGCCAGAAGTTCCTTCATTATCTCGGAGAGCTTCAGTGAGTCTCGGGACTTTTTCAGGAGGATTCAAATTGTTTTGCCCATTTGCTGGAAGTGCGTGTGGAGTGGTGGCACAGCGGTTAGCGCACTGGACTATGAAACCCGACAAAGACATTTTAAAAGGTGACATTTACAGCTCCCCGAGGTGGCCACGTAATTAACAATCTGAGTTCAAATCCCGGCCACAGCTAACATCGGTGGCAAGTGATATCCGAAACCAGTCATGTACAACCCACCTTCACCACGACCCACGTTGACTGGCGTGGTGCAGTATTGTCAAAACTGCCGTTACTGATACGGCGTGTTGAAGGCCGTCACCCTACAGTGGATTGACGAAGCGCTTGTGGAGTATTGTAACAATAGTCCGCGTGACGATTCGTGCTCCCCCCCCTCCCCCACCGTCTCTCGCGACGTCTAGTCCCCCCAGATGCCATGCCAAACACGGGGGCCTCCGCCAACGGGAAGAGGAAGATGCACATAGCCATCGCTTGTACCACCGTGTTCTTCCTCACGACCGTCGTCTTCATCGTCGCCCTCATCTACACCAGGTCTGTCCGCCACCCCCCCCCCCCCCGCAACGGCCGCTCTGCTACCCCCCCCCCCCTCCTCGCAAGCTCCCCTACTGAGCTCCCAGTAGGGGAGCTTCATCACCCATACCTGTAGAGGAGGCCGCATCGCCCCCCCCCCCCCCTGCCCCCAACATTCCAAACCCTCCAATGGCTCCCAATTCGATGCCAGATCGATTTCAAGATCACACTCACCGTCTTCAAGATCCTCCGTGGGAACGCCCCTTGCCGACTCCCCTCTCATCTCACTCTGCTCCCCGCCAAGCGCTCCCATAACGCCCCGCGCTCCACTCCCTCCACCAATTCTCCACTCGCACAACCGAGGCCCTCTGTGGAAGCCTCCCACTCAATCTTCGCTCAGTGGGAGGTCGCTTATTCTTCCCTGCTGTTCCCACAGTCTGGAACTCCCTTCCCCCCCCCCCCTGCCATATGTGCGGTCAATTTCTTGCCCATGTTCAAGTCTACGCTTAAGAACATTTAAATGTTTCCTTAAGGACTTCCCAAGCTGCGTTTGTCATGAACGGTCTTTGACCATACTTCACCACACTGGTCAGTGCAAGTTTACAGAGGAAAGGATGGGGGGGGTGGTGGGGTTCAGATATCACTCGCCACTGATGCTACTTCTGGCTGGGAGTGGAATTTAGGTCACGGGGTTCAGAGAATAATGCGCTAACCACTGGACCACCACTCCTCCCAATTACACATTGTGAAAGCGTAATTAAACGTTGTTATTGAAGACTGACAGTTGCCAATCAGGGGCAGCCAGGATAGCTGTCGACAGCTGCCATGGTTGCAGCGGCAACACGAAGCCAGTGGCCATCGGAGCGGACGGCAAAGGGTATACAACCTCGAGGTGAAACGCAACGCCAGTCACGCAGACGTCGCGACCTTTAAAACGGCTCACCGCACGGACTGAGAGGCATTTTTTAAATATATATAGAGTTCAGCCATGGACCCCACTTACGCCCCAAGAGCCGAACACAGGAACCAACGATCCACGACTTTCTTCAACGCCAGTTGGGAAGTCACGCGGCACCTCCAACTGGCAGACAAACGCCCACCTGAGGGTTGGCGTTGTGCCACGCGGGGACAGCTGCCACCGGGTGGGATGGCGGGGTTCCCCTTGGAAGGACTGCCTCGAGGTTTTCCTTCCACATTTAAAATCGACGTGCATTTAGAGCATTTGGACGTTATACATTTCCACGTGATAGGCCACTTCGTGGAGCTAAAATTTGTGGCCAGGTCGCTTCTGAAAATGAGCCACATAGCTCGAGTGGAGCCTTACTTGGTGAAATAAATTTTTTTTTTAAAAAAAATTGTTTCAAATATTAAGTGATGATTATGAACATGTGTGGCTCTGCTCTCGTTGTTCCTCGCTCCCCACCATCATCGCCGCAGGAAGAGGCTGGCGCCGGTGGTGTTGGCTAGTGCCCTCCCGTGGAGCGGGAGGCTCAAACGCGGCGAGACGGGCGAGGAGGACGACTCTGCCAGCGACAAGCCCAGGCCGGCGTCGGATGCCGACGCCGAGGGGGACGTCTGCCGGCCCCTCTACTCGAACGTGGCCGCCCCGCCTCCCGCGACGATGCCCGAGCAACGGCAGTGCGACAACTTTTACAACATGGAGTATTTTTACAGAGGCGTCGATACGGCGGACGTGCTGGACGCACCCAACGGCGTGGTGCACGCGATGGGATGACGGAATTCCCACTCGGCCGCTCCCGCGAGAGCGTAGCCCGTAGCGCGACCAGTGCCGGATGAAGCTAGTGTGGGGCCTGTAGCATGATGTTATAAAGGGGTACCTAAATAAAAAAAAGTAAATATAAAAAAATGTTTTGCTTGCATAGTAAAGTAATTGTATTTTTTTATTTGCTATACAGCCAGGTAATACGACAAATCGCTAACCTTACACACGCAGTCGTTCATACAAGTTGAAGGCGGTATAGTGCTATAGTAGAATCACTGAACCGGAATTGATAGCCTGAAAGCATTTAGCGCGGGGCCCTTGAAAGTGCGGGGCCCGTAGCTACATATGGAGCTGCTTGTGCTACTGGGATAATTCGGCACTGCACGCGACTCACTTTGTCACGGGGTGGCCACAGACATCGTGCAAGCTTACTCCTGCGTGGGCTTCCCCCGTTGTGCTGGACGGCTCTTCGGTGTTTCTTTGTTATCAGGTCGTGCCATGCCATTGTTTGGCGCGATGTCCCACGCTTGGCTCTACGTGCCGGAATATTTTTCAAGAACTGTTTTAATTGTTCCTGACGACGATGATGTGCTTGGTGTTGACGATGATGTGCTTGATGATGATGATTATGTCCCTGGCGATGATGATGTGCCTGATGATGATGATGATGTGCCTGATGATGTGTCTGATGATGTGCCGGATGATGTTCCTGATGATGATGATGTGTTTGATGATGATGGTGTGTCTGATGATGATGTTCTTGGTGGTGATGATGTGCCTGATGATGATGTGCCTGATGATGATTTTTCTTCAAAACGCTCACAGCACGTGGAGCCAAACGTCGCACATCATGCCGAAGAGCGTGTGGCACAACCGGGAAAGTCACGGGAGAGCTCACGTAAATTTAGTTTTGCGAGTCGAGTTTTTAGGAATAAAAGTGACGTCTAAAAAGTTGCGTTTCGGACTTTAGAGTACAGCACGTCGCATACCCGACTCACTGGAGACTGAGAAATAGGCGGATTTTCGAAAATGCGTGATGTGTGAATATCGATCGAAATTGGCAGTCACACCATTCACATATACCGTACTGGATGAATGTGGTGGTGGTGGTGAATTGGTCAGGGCGGATATGTGACGGTCGGATATGCGACGTCCTATACTACAGTGCCTCCAGCAGTCAGCTGCGTGAATGCCCTCACGTGATCGCTTACGCAGTTGCCTTTACCGACGCCGTAAAGATGCCAACTCAACTTTCAATTATTTTTATTTTATTTTCGGAACCTTGAACCTCGGCGAGGGGACCGCGATGGGCTCGCAGGTCGTGACCCGCGATGAGTTCGCAGATCGCGACCCACGATGGGTTCACAGGTCGCGACCCGCGATGGGCTTGCAGGTCGCGACCCGCGATGGGCTTGCAGGTCACGACCCGCCCACGATGGGTTCGCAGGTCGCGACCTGCGATGTGCTTGCAGGTCGTGACCCGCGATGAGTTCGCAGGTCGCGACCCGCGATGAGTTCGCAGGTCGCGACCCGCGATGGGTTCGCAGGTCGCGACCCGCGATGGGTTTGCAGGTCACGACCCGCGATGGGTTTGCAGGTCACGACCCACGATGGGCTTGCAGGTCGCGACCCGCGATGGGTTCGCAGGTCGTGACCCGCGATGGGTTTGCAGGTCACGACCCGCGATCGGTTCACAGGTCACGACCTGCGATGGGCTTGCAGGTCGCGACCCGCGATGGGTTCGCAGGTCGCGACCCGCGATGGGTTCGCAGGTCGCGACCCGCAATGGGTTCGCAGGTCGCGACCCGCGATGGGTTCGCGCATTGTCAAAAATTCTGGCACGGGTTAACAACAGCGGCAGTTTTTTTACTTCGCACGAAGCAACCCTGGTTACTCCAATAAACGGTTTAACACAGCAGGAGATGATTTCTCAGCCCAGATGACCAACGGCCTGATGTGTACCGGTGTTATACGCTGCAAGGACGGCATTGCACTGTCCGTCATTTCACTGCAAACGCTCCAATGTTTACATGCTAGAATATAATTTCACGCTTAACGCTGGCATGACGAATTTGACAACACGATTTGTGCAGCCGCGTCGGAGGTCACAAGACGTGAAATGAAGCGCGCGCACACACGCACACCGCCGCTGGCTTTGGGCTCGCAGGATATGCCACAGCAGCGCTGTGGATGTGTCGACACCATGGATTGCATGGACAAACACACAATGTTTAGATACGGTTACGTTACACCGACAAAATTTAGGCCAAAAATAACGGTATTTTAAGGCGACATATGCTGACGGTGATGATGACTGAACTTAAAAATACCCAGTAGCACTTGGTTTGGTACTCAGCAGCCGGTCGTTGCGTAGATTTGATTTTGTTTTAGTTCGGCCGAAGTGCTCTCATCCCCACAGTGAACTGGGGGCGTGAACGTCGCGCATTTCGCCTGTTATTGGGCGATGAACCACCCAGAGCCATTCCCTCGAGGGCACTGCCAACTTCCAGAGTGCCTCTGTCGCCCCCTGTACGATGATGATGATGATACCGCGAGACTCGCCTTATACTCTGATGGATCTCAAGCTTTGCCAGGTGTCATTACATTTTAAATGCACTGGATACTAACTACCTTTAGTCCCAATGAAAGGGGCACAAAATGGACTTACACAATATTAGCAGTGCGTCAACATTCTTCAACTTAAAATTCCCATTTTTTGACGAAGTTTTTTTTTTAAATCCCCAAGTGGCCACAAAAGAAAAAAATGTGTACCTAATGGTGCGTTTACCACACCGTGTTATTGCGAACGCTTTTACCCTTACAGGCGGGGAAAATGTAGCGGGGTTATTGGCTGTCGAGGGCATGTGGGAGGCGAGACGGCTGAGAGACCATGGGCCAGACAGGGCCCACAACCTCATTTCTTTCGGCATCCGCGGCCACATCTGGCAACACCGATAAGCCCGGTTGGCTACGTACGGCGCTAAAGAAGTTCAACGTAAAAAAATAAACGTACATTCGAGGCCTACTAGGGATTGTCACCTTTTCCACTGCAGTGCAAAACCGAACATACGTCTCAGTCGGCCTCAGGAACACTGCAACAAACCGTAATTTAGTGCCAACGCAACAACGCGTAACGGGTCAACCCCTGCGGTAAGCACCCCGAGATATCAATTCCCCCCCGAATGTTCCGCGTCAAACCTGGGACAGGTGGCAAACCTTGAGCTCTGTGACTTCCAAACGGCAAGCGATACGTACCCGTCGCTGCGAAGAATCTCAGCTGTCCCAATCGGGTGCTAGAGGGGACGTTGTTGAACCCGGCGATCGATGTCTTTACAACTTGAGCACGCTCAGCCACCCGTTGCAGTGGAGATGGTTCGGAGTGCACGACGCCTACAGTCCTCGAGTGATTAAAGTTGCATCGACTAATGTGTGTTGAACTAAAAAGGCCCTTTTTTATTCGTCCAGGCACATGCTGAAAAAATATGTAATAACTTTTTGGACATTTGACCGATTGGTATAAATTACTGTTTGTGGCCACTCCATCACCGCCCCTCCTGTGAAGGTTTCCTGGCTTGCCTTGGCTGGGAAGTGGGGATTGTAGTCTGGGATGTGTAGTACTGTAAGTTAGACCTCATGGACTCAGTTTTGTTGTGATGACTTTTGATGTTGTTTGCGCTTTTTGTGTTGGTGCCATTTCCTTAATTTGTTTACGATTTTTATTTTATTTTGCTTGGTAGTAGGGTTTTTATTTGCTTGGTACGTGCGTGTGTGTATGTTGGGCGATAGGGCGACGGTTATCGCTACGCCGCGCTACGAACCCGGCGACCCGGGTTCGATTCCCGCTCACGGCCAACACCAATGACGATTATCTGAACCGGTTCTGGGCCTTCCCTAGTTCGACTCAGCCTCAAATGAGTACCTGGTGCGGTGTGTAAACATCGCCACTAGGGAGACAAAGGCGGCCGGGCGTGGTGCTGGCCACCCACCCCCACGTGTGCCGTGCTGGCCTTCATAGGTGCTACTCGCTAACAGACCTTGCCCATTTTTTGCGTAGCCAATCGCATATATGGGATTTGGTCCTTATATATAATTAATGCACAGCGTTGTGGGATGATGTTGGCATGAATATCGCGCCGCAATATAAAATGAAAGTATTATATCCCTTTGCCCACCACATACCCCTGAGTAAGCCTCTATGGTTCACATCCTTAGAGTTTTTGAGGCAGTTGGCTCAAACCGAGCAGCTTCAGCCTCGACGTAGTAAAATCGGGGTCTTAATTCAACTCAGCCTGCATTGGCAATCATTGAATAAATGTTTTGAAATTACACCGGTTGTTTTTTTTTGTTCTTTCCTGTGTGAAAAGTTATTTCACAACGCACTTTTTTTTGTTAACAAGACGATAATGGTATTTATCAAGGCCTATGACCACGTCGACTGGAACGTGCCCGATCTCATCAGATGTCAGAAGCTAAGCAGGCTTGAACCTATAATAGGGGTTTTTCCCATTTTTTCTGGCAACAAAACTGAAACCTTATTACAAGGATTCATGTCTGCATTAACCACAATACCTACAGTCAAAATGCAAACCAAAAACATACTATGATAATATATGCATTGTCCTTGAAACTGATTGGTCCACACGTGTATCTACATGTGTGCCTCTACACGTGTATCTAGGAAGTCTCGAGACTTCAAAGAGATTCCTCTTGTGGGATATTTCGAGGGCAATTTCTGCCTTCACGAGTGGGGAACGCTCAGAGCCGTCCCTAGGGTGTGGCGAATAGGGGCGGCCGGCCTGGGCCCCGCGATTTGAGGGGCGGGGGGGGGCTGCGACGTCACGGTGTCAGATGTAAGACCTCAGTGTCAGTTTCCCCTGCCACCCCACCTCCCTATGGACGGCCCTGGGAACAAAGACAAAGATCCCCAGCATAGCCTTAGCAGGCTGTTGGGGCAAGCTATTTTAGTGAGTAGCACCTACGAAGGCCGGCACGGCACACGAAGTGGCTGAGTGGCCAGCACCACGCCCATCCGCCTTTGTCTCCCCAGTGGCGGACGTTTACACACCGCAGCAGGTACCGATTTGAGGCTGAGTCGACCAAGGGGAGGCCCGGTACCGGTTCAGATAATCGTCACTGGGTGTTGGTGAGCCGTGA